TGAGCTAGACTCCAAGCACAAGCTGGGAGGCAGGGTTACTGGGCCTGGGAGTGAAGGTCAGACCCAGACTGGGGACCATGGAACAGTCAGCCGTGTGAGTCTTCCATGTGAAGCAAAGGCCAAGAGAAACCAGGGACACAGACAGGGACCCTACCATTGCGGGGAGTGCCCGATTTCTCGTGTCCCAAATCACTAGTGAGTTTAGATTCCACCTCCCAGGTGATCAGGACTTTGACCTGTAAGGACTGATGTGAAGATAACTCTGGTGACAGTACAGAGGTGGCTTTTGAGACCATCAGGAACATGCTGACCACCCCAGGCTAGAGTGATGCGGCCAGGACATGGTGAGGAGGGTCAGAGCCAAGATACATGTCAGAGGAAGGACCGGCAGGCAGAGCAGTGGTAGCTGGATGGTGGTAGGGAGGGGGTCCAAGACAAATCCGTGTCCGGTCTGGGCAACTGGAAGCTGAGTTGGATACAGGAGGAAGAGTAAGTTCCAAAGGGAAGAACTCCATTCTGGGGATGTTGTGGAACACCCCGGTGCTGTTTAATCAAGCCTGGGGTTCAGGTGAGAGGGACAGTGTGTAAATAGTCCCCAGACAGGTGGGCCTCAAAGCCCTGGGGTGCCTGGGATGACCTGGGAGAGGGAGGACAGCGGGTGGAGGGAGAGCCAAGAACAGAGACATCTTGGCCAAGAGGAGGGCCAAGGAGGCCATGTCTCGGAGGCCATGTCTCAGAGGCCAGAGGATTTCAGGGAAGAAGGGAGTTCTCATCAGGATCAGATTCTGTCATGAGGTTCATCAGGCAAGGGATGGGCAGGGACCAGGCAGGAACGAAGGGAGGATACAGAGCCGGGCAGAGCCAGTGCCCTGCGAGAGGGGAGGGGGGGTCCTGGAGGCAGCAGGTGCAGAGGCCTTTTCCTTAAAGACCAGATGGAAAGGAACAAGAGGGATTACAGAGAAACTAGGGATAAACCAAGGGTAGGGAGCCCATTGTACAGTAGATCTCATCATTCCCAGAGATTTGTCTACTTGCTAATATTTACTTGTAGCCTCCAAATCAATACTCCTGGTGCTTCTGAGTCATTCTAGGACGTTCACAGAGTGACAGAAACCTGCCCACGTTCCCAAGCGAGCTCATTCAAGGCCGTCTGCCCCCTGTTTCCGCTCCCATGTTGTAAACGAGTGTCCTTTTGCGGTCTACTTAGTGCCATGTTTTTTGCATGTCTGTACTTTTTCTTGCTGATTTTGCTGTTTAAAATGGCCCCCACGTGTAGTCCTGAAGTGCTCGCGTGTCCTGAGCGCGAGAAGGCTGTGATGTGCCTTGCGGAGAAAATACATCCATGGGATAAGCTTCCCTCAGGCACGAGTGACAGTGCCGTTGGCTGTGAGTTCAGTATTAATGAATCAACCATATGTATTACATAAGACGTCTTTCAACAGACACACACATAAAACAAGCATACTGATTACTGGACAAAATGTGACCACGGGCTGGTAGGAACCTAACCCTGTATTTCCCGCAGGAGCAATGGTTCAGGATTTGCCGATTCAGCGTCTGCAGCCACTTTATAGAACATCATTACTGTAACGAGAACGCAGTGTACTTGGTGGGGCAATTGGTAGGCATGTGCTGTGAAGGAGCATCAGAGCAGGGTGTGAGACGCCAGATTTCCACCTCCGGGCGCTGGCTGGGCTTGTCTATCTTATGTGTGGGGGGCAGGGAGGGTGTCTGGCTTCCCCAGTGGGTGGGCTGTCATGGAAAATCATGACAAGAGGTTGTGACTAATAGGCTTCATTTCTGAATACTGAAATCGCTCAACAGGTTCACCGAAGAGGCTCAGGTTCTAGGGTCACCTCCCTACATAGTCGCTGGTGGGTAGGTATGCTGTTAACATTGCCGGTCAGTTCAGGTTTTGACCTTCCAGGTGTGCTTTACTCCATAGGTGCTTCACCCAACACGTGACAAATGTTTCTTAAACAAATGATCCTTGAGGTTTTGCCCTCTTGTGCTATTTTCTAAATGTGTAGATATTGACATGAGGTCAAGTAATACAGGAAGAAAAACAGGTGCTTTGGGGACAGACGGACATGGGGAGTTAATCCTAATTCAGCGCCTGCTCTCAGAGGAGGGGCCTCCAAGGCCTTAGCTTCCTCATCTACAGAACAGAGATATAGTGATAAAACTTCACTTAGATGGTTGCAAGATTTATATAAGGCAACGTAGGTGGAAGGTCCAAACACAGACCCAGGCACCCTTAAGAGCTCTGATATTCATGGGTGCAGGGCCAGGCACGAAGTGGGGATTCGATGAATATTTTTTGGACAAATTGATCAAATCAGGAGACTGATTCTTTTCACCATGCAGTTATTGACAAAAGACCTCTCTAAGAACTGCTGCTGTGAGCCATATAGCATAGGAATTCCACACTAATAGTTCCACGCTAATTGATCATTGCAACAAAAAGGAAAGAGTATCATTCACGCTGCTGTGGTTTGGGTGGCGGCAGAGTGGTTTATGGTCTTCAGGCCACTACGTCATGCAAAAGTCAGAACTGGGCCAGTTCTAAAGATCAAGAAAGTGTGAAGCTCTCGGACAGATTTCTTGTGACATGAGAGCTGGGACCTGATTTTCCCCTGTTCCTATTTTAGGGTAGCAAATAAGAAAAAACATCTCAGACCTCTTTGTTTAAATACTCCCTTTCACTACCCACACCTACATATTAAATGATTTTCTAGCAATCTGAAAGAGTCCTAGAACAGTGGTTGTTAGATTACAAAAACACTTCCTCAGCTCCTAATTTGTTGCAGAAACTGCGCTAAGCTGTGAGGACTCTGTGATTCTCGATGAGCCGAAGTCTCTGCCTTCAGAAAGTTCCCCACAGGAAACACGTCATCCACAGTTTGAAAAGAGTTGTCCTGAACTTGTTCCCACATTGGTTCGTTCCTTCCTTTCAACCTGAGGGAACCCTTATTATAGTCTAGGCACTATTTTTAGCGTTAGGAACTAGACAATGGATATTGTTATTAATAACTTAGTATAGACATATTATTAACTGTATTTTTCATGTTATTAAACTAAAATAATAAAGATGACAAGGTAACACATCCTAAAAGAGCTCATTGTCTAGCAGGGACTAAAGCAAATAAAATAATAATCACAAATCTTTGAAGAACTGAGCCCGAGAGTTTAGGGACTACGTCACTCTCCCAGCTCCGAAGTAGCAGAGAAAGCTTGGAAAAGGATTCCAGACACAGTGGATTGGCCTCTTCACTGGACCCCCTGTGCTGGCCTTATCTTAGGATTCTAGGAAACTCAGAGCACAGTGTGGAAACCGGCCCCGCTGAGGTCATGGCAGGGCAGGGATATAACTGGGACATCAAGGTCAATGTCCAGGCCAGGGCGGCAGTGTTTGGCCTTTAGTCCGTGCTGCCTTTAAGGAGACATTTTTTTAAGTGATCAATTTCTTTACAGAAGTCAGATCATAAATTTATATTGGGATATATGTATGTGTATATATATACGTTTATATATATGTGTATATATATATATATATATATATATCCAATATAGTCATTAATAAATAACATACAGCCAGTCCATTGAGAATTCTATTTTCTCCTGCTGAGGATGTTCTGTAAAGCAAAAAGAAATGATTTAAGTTTATAAAAAAAGAGTATGCTGAGTCTGTTTGTTTGTAATGAGTACTTTCTTGATTTCAGCCTGAAGCTGGTTTTTATTTTTAGGGTGTGTATAGATTCAAAAGAAAACCTACCATTTGCATCTTTTATCCAACACAGCCTCACTGGTAAATTTCCCTTCGATTTTAGTAAAATGTCAGTTGACCTCTTTCAAATTCCGGGGTTAAAACTTTATCATACTAGGCTTAGCTGAATTTTTTTGATAACAGAAGGTCACGAACCCAAAGTGAGAGTCTGTCATCCACTCAAAAATTACTTCCAGAATGCTTGCTGGGTGCCCGGCTCTGCGCGGGGCCATGGGAAATGCTGGCGACAGAAATTGTCTCTCTCCTCGCCTCGGATGAGGACTTTAGGGAAGCCATAAGGGGATGTATCTCTGACGTGCGGAGACCCCTTAGGGAAGAAACGCTGAGCTGAGATGTAAGTGAGGAGGAATTAGCCAGGTGGATGTTCCAGGTAGAGGTCTGATCAGGAGAAACTGCAGGTATTTCAGTTTTGCAGGAGCTTCAGGGCTGGTGGCCTTGGGAGAGATGAGGCTGGAGAAGTGGGCAGGGGCCGGATCACGAAGACCTTTGCAGGCCACGCTAGGGAGTTTGGACTTTATCCTGAAGGCATACAGGGTTATGTAAACTGTAAAACCCGTGAAAGCCCAAGCTTCATGGTTAACTTGTGTGTGTGTATGTAAGAATGAATGTACACTGAATCCATATCTATAATTACATCCAACGATTCCTTTTAGATGTGCCTTTCATCATGTTCCTTTAGTACTTGGGAGCCTTTAAAAAGACAGAGCTGCCTTTGCTCCAGTCCCTAGTAGCTGCAGATTTGTATATGCATGAGGCAGTGGTGCTCAGTGTGGGTTTGCAAAACCAGGACTCAGCCTCCAGCACTGGGGCAAATAGGCTCTTCTTCCTCCTGGCTCAGGGTCTGCCTCTGCTTTGCTATATAAATGAAGTGAGCCTTAGGGGGTTAAATGGAGAAGGATCAGAGTCTCCTCTGCATTTCCAGATAAACCTGAGGGCAGCGTGCAAGGTGGACAGTGTGGAATCAGGACCCGAGGTAAGATCTCAGGCAACAGGTCAGTGGTGACAGTGATGAAACGATGGGCTAAAGCCAGAGAAAATGTGTGGACCCCTGTGGATGTTGGGAGAATATGAAGGGTAAAGAAGGGCCAATGATTGTAATAACCTATAATGGGAAAGAATCTAAAAAAGAATATATGCATACATACATATATATATATATATATATAAACTGAATCACTTTGCTGTACACCTGAGGCTAACACAACATTGTAAATCAACTATACTTCAGCAAAAATTTTTAAAAAGACCCAATGATATTCTAAAATTTTGAGCTGGAGAAAATTCAGTGGATGCTGATGCCTTCTATTAAGACAGGGAGCTGAAGAGGAGGCTAGATGACCTTCAGGAGCCCAGGGATGCTCTCTGCAACTGCATCCAGTGGGCAGGTGATGTAAGAGCCTGGATCTCGGGATAGAGTAAGGTGAGCGATGTGTGTTTGGAAGCAACTGTACATCAGTGATCAAGTCAGGCAAGTGGAATAGACGGCAGTAATCTATAGAAGAAGGAAAGGACTGGGCAAAGGAGACCAGACAAATGGTCACCAGGATTGAAATGACTGATCAAGAAAAGGAAGGCAGGTTAGATGCTAGAGATCTGAAAGATCACTATCCAGTTTGCAAAAAGCAGAAAAGTGAATGGGAGGTGGGGAGGTAGGGGCGGCAGTCACGGACCACAATTTTGTCAAGATGCTTAGCAGAGAAGGGAGTAGGGAGGGAAGGCAGCTGTTGAGATGGGGAGACTGGGTCAGAGAAAGGGGGCTGTTCTGTTTGTGGTTTGTTTTTTGTTCTTAGAGAAATTTGATCACATCAACAACAGCACATATAAAAGCCATGGGAAAAAGATTGAGGGTGCAAGAATGAAGAGACAGTCGAGGATCGGTATTTGGGAGGAGAGAAGAAAAGGTGGGAGGCCAGACAGGAGCTGAAGAGCAGACTACAGACGTTGCAGGTGTGGAAACAGCAGCTTTAAGACATCCCCACCCTCCAACCCCCCGCTGGTAGCTTCCATCTCTAAATACACGTGTTTTTAGCTGTGTCCCCTTACCTCAAGGCTGTCACTCAAAGCCAGTGTTTATTCTTGCTCTGGGCCACAGGTTCAGGCCCCTTCTATTTCCAGGAGGAAAGCCCCTTCTCATGATCCCTGAAGATAGAAAGGGGATATACAGGCTCTGTCATTCACATCAAAATCTAAGACAACATGGATTTAGTGACTATAAATTAATGACAAAGCCTGTGACCAGCACCACCAGAGCCCCTCCTGCCAAGAGGCTACCCAAGAACACCATGACCTCATCTTGCTTATCAAGTTCTCCCTCACTCTCGGGTGTGGCAGCTGAACCCCCAGCCATACGCCTTCGAGGGCAGGGACTGTCACATTTATCTTTCACTCCTCTGAGGGATCTGCCCAGGGTTTGTCACACACATTTGTTGAATTAAATTGAATTGTCATGTTCAAAGCAGTCTCTGAGATGGCTGCACCTCTGCGTCAATGAAGGTCCCAATGCCCAAAATGTTTTTAGAATTCAGCTCTGGAATTACCTTCCAAGGAATATAAAAAGGATCAGTCGCATTAATTTATATCTATATAATATTTTTTTTGTCCCAAATGACATTTTCTCAGAGTGGCAGCCAGCCTCAGAGATGGCCCGCTGGTATTCGCACTCGGGTATTCCCCTCCCACGTCGGACCAGGGTTGGTCTGCGTGATTGATAAACTATGCAGAAGTGATGCTATATCCCTTTCAAAATTAGCTAATAAAAGACTGTGCCTTCTGTCTTGGGTGCTCTGTTGCTTGTTCATTCTCCTCTCTCTCTCTCTCTCTGTCTCTCTCTCTCTCATCATGTTCTCTGGCAGAAGCCAGCTGTCATGTTTTGAGGACATTCAGACAGCCCAGTGGAAGGGCCCATATGGTAGGAAACCAAAGCCCTCATTCCAATAGCCCCTGAAGAATTGAGGCCTGCCAACCACCATGTGAGTAACCTTGGAAGTGGATTCCTCAGTCCCAGCTAAGCCTTCAGATGAGATCACAGCCACAATCAACATCCTCTCTACATCATTTTAGAGACCCTGAGCCAGAAACACCCAGCTTGGCTACTTCCAGGTTCCTGACCCTCAGAAACTGTAAGATAATAAATGTTTGTTGTTTTAAGCTGCTAAGTTTTGTGGTAATTTGACACATAGCAATAGATGACTAATGCACCCAAGTTGGCTATTAATCTGATTAACTGAATTTATTTCTAAAATTAAATCCAAGAGCACATGTTTTCCATCACTACAGAGATTCAAAAGAATGAGCCCTAGACTTGGAAGATAATTCCTAAAAAAATTGTTCAAAAATGTTCTCAGCAGTGGTCACATTTTTAGAATAACTGTATTTCTCCCCAAGTGGCACATTGGAGGGGGTCTAAACTCAGGCCCTTTTTTAAGCAAGCCTCAGATTGTAAGCTTTAGTACTTCAAATAAATTCGGAAAAAGCCTAAGGATGGTCAGACACTGAGCTCAATGAAACATTAATATCTGTGTTATTCATTTTAATGGAGAATTCTGATCAGAGGGTAAATTTCACAACTCTTCTGTAAAGCAACATGAGAAAAACAGAGGCTTTAGAGCCTGACAGATCTGTCTCTAAGTCCTGTCTCTGCCCCTCTCTACCTGGATCAAAGTCCTACGTTGGCCGTGTAGCCTTGGACAAGTTACAGAAACTCATTAAACCTCAGTTTGCCCATCTACAAAATGGGAAGGAACATAGTGTTGCCTCTCAAGATGGTTGTGAAGCTGAAGGAGAAAACTGTCAAGCAATTAGTAGAGAGTTAGTATTTTGTGTCTACAACAAACAACATGAGTTGTTACTCATTTCTTCTGTGTCAGCAGATAAGACACCTGGTTTACAGTGCTCCCCTGAAGGTTAAATGAGAAAAGTGATCGTAAAAGGGAGAAACTAAATACCTGTTAGTTCTGTCTGCTTGCTGACAAGTACAGTTGAGGTTGGAGGGCAAAGGGAAGTTTAAAAGAGTTTGGATTTTTCAGAAAATGCTCCAGATTGGGACAGGAGGCAGGTGAGTGATGATTTCCTCAGCTAGATTTGGTATTTTGATTCCTGACAAATTTTAAGTGAGTTTTGATGCCTCAAAGTTAACTTTTCAATGATTTGCAAAGCTGGTTTATGAAGGACTGTTCTTTTGTTTTCATTTTCCCTTAAAATATTTTGCATTTCAGGGGTTTATCTCTTATGACATGACTTCAGCAGAGTCTGGCTTGATCAGAAAAGGATGTGTTCGGTGTCCTACAGAAGAAAACAGGAACACTTAGCAAGTGACCGTTCATAAAATGGCTCACTTTTTGATCTGTCAGGAGTGAGACCTGTAACGCAGTAACAGTCATAAGGCAGGCCCCCTCTGCCCACTTCTGGAATGTTCTATGACTTTATTACTGATGCCACAAATACGCTTTTCCAGGAAGGAAGCAGTGAGAGATCACCAAAGAGTTTTGCTGCCATCAGCTCCAATAGAAAAAATCCTCCTATTTACCTATTTTACCAATAGGTAGAAATGTTTCCTAAGCCATAAAACACTAACTCAATCCCACTTCAAATGAGAGACCACTCTCTCTCTCTCTCTCTCTCTCTCAGGGGAAAAAAAGAAAGCCCTCCCTCCCCGAAGCAAGATTCTTAATGGGATGGTCACCTCTGGTCTTATGGCTGGAGGATTACAGAATTCAGCCCCAGCCAGTCAGATGAGGTTTAGTCCAGATCCTTCCACCTACACATTGTTTCATACCTGGCTCCTAAAACTGGTCGTGCACCCAGGAGGGAATAAGCGTGCTCAAGCTGGGGGACCCTCTTATGGTAAAAACCAACACCTGTCCTGCCTAATTGGCAGAGATGTTGGGACATGAAATGGAATCATATATGGAAAGGCTCTGCATAAATATAGAGCTGCCTAAATGAAGAGTTGTAACATTATTGCCTACTGTTAAGAAAGGAGCAAAAGCAAATGTTTATTTTCTGTGGTTTCTGTAATTGTTCAAAGCTTATGTACAGATATTTCTAGTTTTAAATGACTCCTTGATAGAGAGCTTCAATATGAAGTTGATTCACACACACACACACACACACACACACACACACAAATATATATATATATATATATATATATATGTATGTATATTAAAAAGAGCGGATCTCAACTTACCAAGCAGATAACTGTTTCTTGATGTAGAGGATCCCAAGATATCTCCCAAAACCATCTAAGTAAATGTAGGCATTAGTATGTATCCGCACATGAAAGAGAGGAAAAGGAAGGACACTGCAAAATATGTAAATATTGTCAGGAGGACTCAGATGTATTATATAATTTATTTTTAATGAAATAAGGCAATACATTACATTAAATAACTTTATATGGTATTGAACATGTAATGTCTAAAAAAAGCATGTGGGGAAAAGCAACTTACATGAAGTTTAAATTGTCTAAAAACGTTTCCACTAGACTCAAAATGACCCCCAATTGTTGTGGACGAGAAAGACGGAACCTCGTTATATGGACTTGCAAATCAACTATGTTTAGCTCAGATTTGTGAGTTTTCTCTCTATGAAGTCCCCATATGTGTTCAATTAAAAAAAAAACAAAAAGTGTGCACGAGTAGTCTTCATGAAGCCACTGAAAGCCCATAGTCACAAAGTAAGGTGGCTGCTTGACTCACAACCTTTCTACCAGGCGTCTGGGCCACCTACCTGTTACCCTCTGCATCGTGAACAGTCAGTTTGCCCGCTGGCTTTTGTCAGAGTGATTGGTCTAGCAAGCAGCACAGTTTAGTGGGGGAAAGAATAATCTTTTCAATAAACGGTGCTGAGACAACTGGATATCCACATGCAAAAGACTGAGGCTGGACCCCTTCCTAATCAAAAAGGACCATGCATCTAAATGTAAGAATCACACAAACAACAAAAGGAAAAAATGGATCAATTGGACTTCATTAAACTTTAAAACTTTTGTTCTTCAAAGTGCACCATAAAGAAAGTAAAAAAAAAAAAACTCACAGATGGGAGAAAGTGTCTGCAAATCGTGTATCCGATATGGAACTTATATACAAAATATATAAAGAAGTCTTACTACTCAACAAGGAAAGACAAATAACCCAACTTAAAATTTGGCAAAGGAACTTTTTTTCTTTTTTGGCCACTTTGCACAGCTTGCAGGATCTTAGTTCCCCAACCAGGGATCAAACCTGCACCCTCGGTGGCAGTGAAATCGCGGAGTCCCAACCACTAGACCGCCAGGGAATTCCGACAAAGGATTTGAGTAGGCGTTTTTCCAAAGAATATATACAAATAGTCAATCATTGCTCATTAGGAAAATGCAAATCAAAACAGTAATGATGCATCACTTCACACCCACTAGAATGGCTAAAATTAAAAAGACAGACAATGATAAGTGTTCATAAGGATGTGTAGAAACTGGAACCCTCATACATTGCTGGTGGGAACGTAACATGGTACAGCTATTACGGAAAACAGCGTGGCAGTTTCTCAAAAAGTTACACATAGAGTTACTTTACGCCCCAGAAATCCCACTCGTAGGTAAATACCCAAGATAAATAAAAATATATGCCCACACAAAAACTTGCACATGAATGCTCACAGCATCATTATTTACAATAGTCAAAAAGTAGAAATAGGGACTTCCCTGGTGGCGCAGTTAAGACTCCACGCTCCCAATGCAGGGGGCCTGGGTTCAGTCCCTGCTCAGGGAACTAGATGCCGCATGTCGCAACTAAGGAGCCCGGCAGACGCAACCAAGACTCAGTGCAACCAAATAAATAAATAAATATTTTTTAAAAAAGAGATATGTATAAAAAAAGAAGTAGAAACAACCCCGATTTTGATCAACTAATGAATGGATAAATTAAATGTGGTTGATCCATACAATGGATTATTATTTGACAATGAAAAGCACTGATACATGCTATAACATGTATGAACCTCCAAACATGCTAACTAATATAAACCATTCACAAAAGAACACATATTGTATGTTTCTATTTATATGAAATGGCTGGAAAAGGTAAATCTATAGACAAAGAAAGTAGATTAGCGGTTACTAAGGGCTGGAGAGAACGAGGAACAGGGTCAGGGGTCTTAGGGTTTCTCTTCTGGATGACGAAGTGTTCATGATTTAGATAGTGATAAAAGTTGTACAACCTTATGAATATACTCAAAACCACTGAACTGTACACATTAAAGGGGTGAATCGTATGGTCTGTGAATTATTGGGTTGGCTAAAAAGTTGGTTCGGCTTCTTCTGTAACATCGTATGGAAAAACCCGAACGAAATTTTTGGCCAACCCAATTTATTTCAATAATAGTGTTATTAAAAAAAAAAATGGGACACATGACCTAAGACAGGACAGTGGGAATAATACCAAGAGGTATCTCCAGCTGGAGCTAGAGAGAAGTGCTCTGTTTCCTCCTAAGTTTAGAGGATATGAACCTGGAGTGGCTTGTAGTCTTGCCTCCAGCTGCAAGGAGAGAACTCATCCGCAGTGAGGGGAGGAGGGACGGAGAAGGAAAGAAATGGATGTGGCCTAGAGAGTGCTGACAGTCACTAGATTGAGTTGTCCAAGAGGACAACGCCTTCCTCTCCTTTCTGGGAACGCGAGCCAGGGAGTTATCTCATTTTGGCTTAGGCCACTTCTAGTTGAATTTCTATCATTTGAAATGGGAGAGAGTAAATAAATGAAAGGCCTGTAACTCTCCTCCCCCGAGTTCAGAATTCTTGTTCACTCTTCCTCAGTTTCTCCTTTTGCACTGTTTTGGGTCTCATGGCTGAAACTCTAGCCAAACCTCATCCCATCCACTTGAAATCAGAAGGATTTGTCCAAAATCAAGTCCATTCACCATCCTACAGATGTTAGCATTTCATCGTGTGGTTGACTGAAGTACCACATAGAAATTATTTATCCTCTACGTACTTCTCTTCCAAAATTAAAAGAGTAAAAATAAAAACTGCCCGTAATTTAAATATTTATTTGGTTAAGAGAGAATATTAGCAGTTTTAGAAATTTATTTGCTCAAATATTTTTACAAAGCATTTATACTTATTAAAATTATGTAGTGGAAAACCTGAATGTTTTTATATTAGAGACGCTTTCTCTCATTGTATGCTTACCAGATATTTGAGCTAAGTCCTATTTCGTAATAACTAGGATGTTTGGTCTTACTCTCCATGGCTTCCATCCTTCTTCACATTATATTCCTTCCTCTGGAAATTCCTTTACTATCTACACATGTTTTTCAAGTGGCCTTTATGTTCATTACTCTGGGATATTTTTTTTCAGCTTTCTTTCTTTTATTCCCTACTTCCAACAATGATTTATTTGTTCTATGTCTAAATTCATTCCAGTCAATTGTCTTTCATGTTTGTAGTATCATCATGTATTTCACTGAAAATGGTTAACAGCTGTTGTCTAATTTTTTTTCTGTTTCATGTAAGAAATCTATTTTAGAGTTGCCAGGAATTACTTTAAATCTCCATCTGCTTTCTTCTCTTTCTTTCGAATTGCAGAATCCTTTAATTTAAGGAATTTTTTCTTTGCTCATCATCCTTTATGATCTCCTAGTCTTTGAGGCAAAGCAACCTGGGAGTTTATTTTAAAATCTTGTTTGTTTCCGGGACTAACTTAACTTAGTATCAGAGTCTTCTTACAAAACTTGGGACTGGAAGAAAAGTGAGTAGTCTTCAGTCTGCAGTTAGAAAGTTGCAATAGGTTTGTGGGTTGTGCAAACAATCAGAATCAACTTTCCAAATCAACTTTCCATCTCTTTCCAAAGAGATGGAAGAGGGGTTAAATTAGGCGGCCACTTATTAACTTCTAATGTGTTAAAGGTCATAGAACAGGCATCCATTTCTCTCGACATTCACCACTAACTCCTAGCTCTACTTGGCACTCTCTCTCACCTGCCCTGCCAGCCTCCCAGTGCCCCCATCCATTCTTACCTAGTTCCAGTCTGTTCTTCATCAATTCTGTCACTTCCCTACTTATAACCCTTGACTAGCCCCAAGCCAAGGATCCTTGACATGACCCATGAGGTCCACCTTGACCAGGCTGGTGTCCTCTCCAGCCCCACCCTTATGCCTCTCTTGTCATATTTTTCTCCCAGTCATGATGGATTTCTGTCCATTTGTACCCATAAGCTTAGCTTCCCTTACACATCAGGGAACTCCGTCAGGCTCTCCCCTGTGCTGGGAATCTCCTCATCCTTCCCCTCCACACCCTGTGCCCTTTGTCCTGAGGTCACCCACCCTCCAGCCCCCCGGGGAAAGCTCGCTCTGACCCCACACGCTATTGCATCCTCTTGCTACGTGCTCCCGAAAGCTTGCCTGGTAGTCAGGGTAACCCCTGCTTAATGGACACTCCCAGACTCATCCACAAACCCCACAAGAGCCAGAGCAGTGCTTCTCTTGCTCTCCACTGTCTCCTAGCTTCCCCCATACAAACCACAAAATCAATACGCACAAAATGCTTGGGACATGATGCTTGGTCCCTGTCACTTCTGGGTTAGCTTGGCCAGGCGTGCGCCACTGTGTCAGCTGTGAAGCATGCCTTACGTCCTGGATACTTTACTGGAGTCGAGGCCCTGGGTACCTGAACTAGCATCAAGGAGATAGGATCCAGAAATCTCCTGGGGATTGACCCTCAAAAGTTGCCAGTGAGAACGAGATTGATCAATAACCTTATGCTCAACTGAACATTTTTGCAGAATTCTCCTTCCAACAGTGAAAACACCCCTGCAACAGGAGTTTCTCACTCCTTCCTAATTCTAACATGGACTTCCATATAAAATATGGAAGTCCTGGGTATGTTCATAATAGAGGAACATTACTTTTATGTGTAATTCTTGAAGTTGAAATTGTATACTCTTTTCATATAATTTTCACTACAGATTTAAATCTTGAAAAAATTAATAAAAATATACGTAGAGAAAGATGTCATTGGACAGATTTGGCTGTATAATGGTAGAAACAATTCTTAAGTAGCAGTCAAAGATATTATCCATTATGAATAAACAAATAACGTAATAGTTATGTTTTTATCCCAAATTAGAGTCTAGAGGCTTCCTCCTCATATCATATTGTTGACAATTTCTTCCTCATTTTTCTTGTATTCATTCAAGTATTGACTGAACATCTACCCTGTATCAAACCTTGTCCTAGATGACAAAACACACATTCCCTACGCTCATTTGATGTATATTCCAGTAAGGAAAGCAGTCAGTACACAGACAAATACGTAATATAATTCCAAGTCAGAAATGTATATATTACTGATTTCACAGTATTATTGCAGATGAATATCAGTGCAATTGAAGGAAAAAAGATGTGTCCTGCCATTTACCAAGCATCTATTACGTACCAGATTCTGGACCAGATCTTTCACGTCCATCAACTTACTTGGTTTTCTCAACTTCCTATCGGGTGGTCTCTATACTGGCATTTAACAGATGAAGAAGCTTCAGATCATGGAGATTAAATCTCCTGACCTAGGTTGCAGAGCTGGTAAATGAACACTGATGTATCAAAAATGCCCCTCTTGGGCTTCCCTGGTGGTGCAGTGGTTGAGAGTCCGCCTGCCGATGCAGGGGACACGGGTTGGTGCCCCGGTCCGGGAAGATCCCACATGCCGCCGAGCGGCTGGGCCCGTGAACCATGGCCACTGAGCCTGCGTGTCCGGAGCCTGTGCTCCGCAACGGGAGAGGCCACAACAGTGAGAGGCCCGTGTACCGCAAAAAAAAAAAAAATGCCCCTCTTCATTCCACTAAACCACAGAGGCAGTGAGATGCATACTTAGATCTAAAACTTTGAAGATTTGCTCATTGTTATTTTAAGCTCACATCCTAAATCTTAGGAAAAGAGAGAGAATTGGAAGAAGTAAGGGATATTGAACATGAGATTGCAGGTGTAAAAGGGAGATGCCAGCTGAGTCAGCAGAGCTATACCTGAGTGATGCTCCAGCTACTCTGTCACACCGGCCTGCCTGTCACAGACCCACACAGACCCTAAGAGGTCGGTGCTGTCCCAAAGGATGCCGAGCCCCTGCACCTACCTCTTCACTGCTGTTAGACTCGGAGGAGCTGGAGGACCAGTGGCAGCGAACCCACACATCCTGCACCTGCTCAGCAGACACCCACACGGTGCTTCTGCAAACAACTGCTGGCTGGAAAAGGGGAAGCAGTGAGTTCCACGCCCGGCAGCTGGTAGAAATGGTTAGGACCTATCTAAGAAATCAGGCAACACCATAGGGCTTGACTCAATGATGCAGACAGAAAGGAAAAATTCACAGAGACATTTCATTGTTCCAAAATTAAAATTTCTCAAGACCTAAGCAGAAACAAATGATGACTTAAATATCTCTTAGGCTTTTGCTACATTACAAGCCCTGAGGGAAAGCAGATGTTCCCTTCCTGAGCACTGAGTGGGCTCCCTCGAATGGCTTTCCTTTTGAACAACAAGAAGTGGGGAGATCTCCCAAGGACCCTGCTCTGCTCTCCCTTGGCCTCAGATTTCATTAGAAACAAATGCTAGTGACACTTGGGTTTGGGACCTTTGTGAAACAGAGCCACAGCAAAAAGTCTCACGAAACAGTGAATTTGGGGTGCCTCCATCCCTGGGGTTAACCAAGCATGGGGCCATGTGCTGGTCACTGGGGAGACGAAACTGACCACGCTGTGGTCCTGACCCCCATGGAGCCCAAGCTGGTGGAGGAGACAGATGTTATACAACAGTCAACTATAAAACAGTGCACCTCGCACCAGGAACACGGCTGGCATTTTAAATTCATTTAAAATAGAATTTGAAATGTCTCTGGGATTTTTCTTGGCTATTGGCCTCTTCGTATTCACTTTGCCTGGAACCATCATTATCCCTATTTTTAAACAGCAGAAAGCTGAGGCAGCAGGAGTTAAATAATTTGCCAGGATTACTCAGGACTGTGGACTCCAAGAGCTCGAGTCCTCGACCACTGAGTCACGCCGCCCCTGCCCAGGGGACAGCGTGGACACAGTTAGTGGTGCCTCCCAGGGTGTCCAGACGCCAGGCAGTGGCCAAGGCCTTGGTGTGGCTTTGAATCAGGTCCCGGCGATGTAGGAAGACAGGTGCTCCCTTGCGTTGTTTTCTGGGCTGGTGGCCTTTCCCCCGACTCTTACCACGTAGTAGCCCCTCTGGAAGTCACAGGTGGCGGGATCTTCCCCAGAGCCCCTCCTGCACGTCGTCTCTCGGATGCGGAGCTCTATGTCCATGGTCAAGCTGTCCTCATCCAGGATGTTGACCTTCATGAAAACAAAGCGTCAGTTTGCCATAGATGTGTTTCTGAAGGTCACACGCTAGGAATGTGTCTCCTTGCACAAGGAGAGAAAGTGACAGAATACCCCACCACTAAACCTTTCAATTGTCGTGGCAATCACCCAGTTCCACGCCCTCATTCTGAAGACCAGGGGAAGAAGTGCTTTACCAAAGGCTCACAAGACTTTACTGAGACAATAGGACCAGAACTTGGGTGTCCTGACTCCACGCTAAGCACTGCTGCTAATGACTTACATTTACGATGAATCCTCAGGATTTACAGATTCCGTATTTGCAAATTTGCCTACTTGCTAAAATGTACATCTAACCCCAATCAGTGCTGGGTGCCCTCACGGCCACTCATGAAGACACGCTGGGCGGCAAAGAACTTGAGTCACCAGATGCACACGCTCCCGACCGGGGTCAGATGAGGTGATAAAAGGCTCAGGCTCTTTGCCTCTGCAACCAGACAGTACACAAGTCAATTTCATGGTCTATTGTGTGTCACGGTTTTCTCATTTTGTGCTTTTCCTCGGTGATTTTGCTGTTTAAATTGGCCCCCAAGCCTAGTGCTGACAAGCTGTCTAGTTTCCTAAGCACAGGAAGGCTATGATGTGCCTGACAGAGAAAATACATGTGTTAGCTGAGCTTTGCTCAGGCCTGAGTGACAGCGCTGGTACAGTGAGCTCAATGGTAAAGAATCACCATACATATTAAATAAGTCTTTAAGTGAAAACACACATAAAACAAGGGCACATATTGATCAGTTAACCGAAATATTGTGACCAGAGGCTCTCAGAAACCTCACCCTGCATTTTCCCAGGATAAACGGCTCAGGATTCACTAACCCAGTGTTCGCAGAATCTTTATGGAATGTAACTGCCGCGAATAACAAGAATCAACTTATTTTAAGTGTCAACGTGTGTATGAGATTCAGATTTAATATCTAATATGTAAAAATTATCAATAACCAGGGTCATAAATAATGGCAAGGCTGAGTTTTTAGTCCTACTTGTTTTTAGAAAACTCTGCTTGTATCAGCACTCCTCATCCTGCATCAGAAAGAGACACAAAGACGCCCCCATCCCGAGCTTGGAGCTGTGGCCACTTATTTCCAAAGCAAAAACAAAGTATTTTAAGTGTCATTTTCCCAAAAGAATGCTCCATACTTTCTTAATAATTCCCGAAATAAGTAAGTAGCAAGTACATCTCTGCTGTACAGTGTTATCCAGCCCCGCTTCCCGGTTGATCAGTTCGGATCTATGAACAAGATTACACAGTTTTCCACTCCTTTCCACCAAGGGTGGGATACTCGGGGTACCTTCCAAACTTCCTGATGAGGGTGCTGTTCCGATGACACGGACGTCTCCTGACTTAACTAAATGCCCACTGTGTGTGCTGCACCAGAAGCACAGCAGGGAAGACCCCACGGAGCTTAGATTCCACCTGGGGCAGGGTGGTGGGGCACCACACAGCAAACACACTAAAGAAAACTGAACAAGGACTTTCCAGATGGCTATAGGGTTAGGAGCAAAAAAGCATCGTGGCAGTGGGGATGGAGAGCTGATAGTTTAGACGAGGCGCCTGAGAAATCCTCCCAAGGAAGGCGTTTTTAAGCTGGGACTTAAAGGATGGGAAGGAGCCCATCGTGTGAGGAAAAAGCAGAGCCAATGTCCTGGGGCAGAACAAGCCCAGCGGTGGTGGTGAAGCAAAATGAACAAGAGGAAAACCAAACACCCTGAAGTTGGAAAGGAGTGCGCCAGACAGTTAATGGTCCCGTAGCCCGTGGGAACGAGTTTTGACTTCATTCTCATTGCAATGAGAAGTTCTCAGAGGCTTCGAAGAGGTAAGATCTGAGTCACCATGGCTGCTACAAGGAGAGCACACGGGGGCAGGGACAAGATGGCAGCAGGGAGGTGGGCTCCACTGCCCGACCCCACCCCAGGTTCCAAAAACTCCTTCCCTTTGAGCTCTTGAGCCCATCCTTTGGCAAATTTGAGTCAACCCACACAGTCACCTACTGCCCAGTGAGGAGAGAGGTGGTGACAGCACTGTGACAGTCGGTGTGACCACTTTCAGGCAGGGAGTAAGGAGATAGTTTGCTTTGGAAATAAGTGGCCACAGCTCCAAGCTCGGGATGGGGGCGTCTTTGTGTCTCTTTCTGATGCAGGATGAGGAGTGCTGATACAAGCAGAGTTTTCTAAAAACAAGTAGGATTAAAAACTCAATCTCAGGCTTCCCTGGTGGCGCAGTGGTTGAGAGTCTGCCTGCCAATGCAGGGGACACAGGTTCGAGCCCTGGTCTGGGAGGATCCCACGTGCCGCGGAGCAACTGGGCCCGTGAGCCACAACTACTGAGCCTGCGCGTCTGGAGCCTGTGCTCCGCAACAAGGGAGGCCGCGACAGTGAGAGGCCTGCACACCGCGATGAAGAGTGGCCCCCGCTCGCCGCAACTAGAAGAAAGCCCACGCACAGAAACGAAGACCCAACACAGCCAAAAATAAATTAATTAATTAATTTTTAAAAAAAAGAATTCTGAGATTAAAAAAAAAATCTCAGCCTTGCCATTGTTTATGACCCTGTTTACTGATCACTTTTACATATTAGATATTAAATCTGAATCTCTTAAAAAAATTAAAAACTCTTCAGCTGGAGCACATCAAGCAGGCTCTCCCTGCCAGCCCCGCCCCCCCCCCCATCATGCTTCCACAATTCCTTAAAGCAACCTGATGAAAGCAAACTGGCAGGACAAAAGCTTAGTTTAAAAGATGAAAATGCAGGGGGTTTGAGTACTGATAATTTTAACTGTGAGATGATTTTGCAAACTTTTTGCATCTCTAAGCACTTTTAAGCACCCTTTCCAGAATATGGAGAAAAGTCAAATAACTGCTTTTTCATTTGAATTCACTTTCAGCCAGTGAATTTCTGCTCTGTGTTCTTTGAAAAATGTGGGACAACCCAAATACTCAACCCTAAGGAATCAACTGGAGAAAATCCCAAACCCAGCGTTACGGCTGAAATAAATCATGGTCCTTTACAATCGGTGTTACAGTGTGGTCCTGTGTTTTTAATATATATATATTTTATACCCACATATGAGGAGAAAAAAATCCAAAAAGACATCCTGCCACATGTTCATAGTGGGCGTCTCAGAGGGCTGGATAACGAATGTTACTTTTGGCTTTCTCTTTCTTGTTGTATCCTGTGACTCTTTATAATGAGTATATTTTGATTTTTTTATTTCAAAAAGAAATAAAAATATACAAGCCATAAAATACCCGTAACAGTTCCTTTTGGAGAGTACAATGTTTAATGTTATGTGTCAGTTTAGCTGGGCCACAGTGTCCAGAGCTCTGGTCAAACATTGATCTGGATGCTTCTGTGAAGAGGTTTTTGGATGAGGTTAAAGTGGTGGACTTTGAGGAAAGCAGATTACCCTCCTTCATGTGGGTGGGCCTCATCCAATCAGTTGAAGGTCAGACTAGAGCCGAGACTGACCTTTTTCTCAGCAGGAAGCAATTCTGCCAACAGACGGCCTTCAGACTTGAACTGCAACGTCAGTTTTTCCCTGGGTCTCCAGCCTGCTGGCCCACCCTGCAGATTTGGGCTTTACCAAGCCTCCACAGCAGTGTGGGCCAGTTCTTTAAAATCAATCTCTCCCTGTCTCTCCCTGTCTCTGACTCTATCCATCTCTCTTCTCTGCTTCTCTGGAGAAGCCTGACTAACACAGTGATCATTTAGGCTTTTCAAACTAAGGCCTTATGATTGGACAAAAAGTAAAGCTCAGGTATAGCTGCCTAGCAAAACGTAGAAAGCCAAAAAGCAAAACGTGCAAAGAGGAAAGGTAAAAATGGACAGAAATGGGCATAGACACATAAAGGATCCCAAAGCTTCCGTGGCTTTGCCCCAAATATCCCAGAATCCATCTACTCCTCACCTTCCCCACACTAAGAGGCTCAGTTGCCATAGGTCACCATCTGCTTCCCACAGTTGCTGTCTGGGCTTCCTCCTGGCACCCCACTCCACACAACAGCTGCAGAGATCTTAGAAGGGCTTCCTGCACTTTATTTAAAACCTCCTCCCAGCTACCCCCTGCAGGAGGTCCTCCCACGGCTGGAGGTTCTCGTTACTGAGTGAGTCTTAGCTCAAATATGGCACCTCTGTGGAGACTTCTCTCCCATCTGACAGCTACCCCAGCCCAGGCCCAGGCCCATCCATCACCCCGTTTTATTTTCTCCACAGGACTCCCCACTCTCTGAGACTACCTTCACTTATGGAATTTGCACCCCATTCTCCCTTCATCCCCTCCCCTCCTCTCTCTCCCCTCTCTCTCTGCAGTGGTATCTGAGCTGCGTGGGAGCACGGCCTGGTCCAGCCTCTCTGTTCCTCACCCCCAGCACAGGGCCTGTGTCCACCTTTCCTTTCTCTGCTTGTGTACATTGAGGGAGCAGTCTGTGTGTGCCTAGTGTCAATGTTGGAGCAAGGAAGTCATCGTGGCTGACTACATTTCCCCATGCTCTCCCGTCCTTTTTAAACTTGGAGCCCAAGAGTTAAGTTACTTACAATCAATCGCAAAAGCATTTGATCCAAGTCCCTGGTAAATCGCAGTGGTTCTTAACCCTGACTACACATTAGAATGACCAGGAAACATGTAAGAATATGAGCCCCACCCTCAGGGACTGGGATTTAATTAGTCACCCTCCCGCCTGGACATCAGGAGTATTTCAATCTCCCAGATGATGCTGATGTGCAGGGGTCGAGAACCCCTGGGCTTATGAAGCAAACTCAGGGATAAAGTAGCGGGGCCGGACCCCTCACCCTAAGCCCACTGAACTCTACCCCAAACCTCCTGCACATACACAAACATGACCAAACCACTTATTTCCTTCAGACATACTCCTAGAAATGAAACTATGAGATCAAATGTTATAAACATTTGCTATTTTTAAAGTTTAACGTGTTTATAAACATGCTTAACAAACTGCACGTTTGCAAAGATAATTTTACCAAATTACACTTTCTCTAGCAGTGTTTGAGATTTCCCTTTCACCTTTCCCCTGGTTATTTTCATTCTGATTTTGTCGGCTGTCGGAGAAGTGACATATTTTTCGCAATGTTTCGAGCTCATTTGTATTACTATTTTGTGAATTGTTTTGTACCCTCAGGGACAGTGATCTGATCTGTTCCCTCATCTCTTTCCTGAGGACTTTGCTTAGCTCTGAGTGGATCTCTCATGGCTACTGTTATGAAGGGAATTGGCCTATTTGGGGCCATCTTCAGGGTGTTTATAGAAGGCATGACTAACGCATACAATAAAGCAAAATGTGAACCACTTCTAAGAAGAAAGACGTATCACCAGGACAGATCAAAGCAGGAGAGTTCTTCCTCCATTGGGAGAAGAAAGGAAGTTTTCATGGAAGGGACATGGTGAATGTAACTTGGCCAATGAATTTGAATAGTGAGAAAAGGCTGGAAAGAAACAAGAATGTGCAGAATTCCAGGTAGCAGAGCAGCGCACAGGAGGAGGAGGGGCATCTCCCTCCTGTGTTCTCACTGAGGATCACACGCCCACATACATAGGTGTGTTTCTTTGCAGGTGCCTGTGTGTCTGGGCTCAGGTGTCTGATACCAAGATAGCCCACGCGCTGGAATGTTCTCTGGATGACTACGCCTCATGCTAGCTCGTCTCCACTGGCCAGATTTCCATGGTGTCAGTAACTGGTTCTCTCGGGACCTGTCCTCATGATCTTATTCACTTAATTAACTACTAACTTTCTTCTGTAGCAAGCACTAGCTAAATTACAAGCAAATCTAAACTCATTTGCAAGCTTGGCAAGGGGACACCGATTGCCCCACACCACACGTGGATTTCATTAAGTGCAAAAGATGGAAGCCCAAACAGCCAGTGTACGACGGAGGGGTTCTTCATTCTGCCCAGTCCTCCTCCAGAAGGAACTCGCCCTCTGGCTTGGCGGCTGACCACACGTATCTCGCCGTGCTCTCGCACCGCGACAGCCAGGCCAAGTGACCCCAGTCTGGCCACAACAGCCTGGTTCTGGACTAGCTAAAGCATCATCTTCGTGACCTATGACCCAATTAGAAAAGACAACTGGGACAATTCAATTAATTTCCTGGGAATCTGGAAATAAGAAACTGAGCTAGTTTATGAAGGAGCTGGGTCAAGATGAATGTATTGTATTTGGAGACTGGACCTACGGAGCCATGAGCTGTGTGCCCTTTACAGGAGGAGAGGGGACAAACCAGGTGTGTGCTAAGGTGGTGCCCGGCAGGGATGGGAGAGGTGAGCATGAAGGTGGAGAGGAAGTAATGCCATTCTGGCCTCTGCGAGGAGGCGGCCGCTGCCTGGACCCCTGGCCATGTCTCCACAGTTCACAGTTCCCAGGCGGCCCGTCTGCAACGAGTTCTCATTTGTAGGACCAGGAACTTTGTAGAAGCTCCTCACCCCCCATCTTAACCTAAACTCTCCTGCAGGTATTTCTGCTGCCTCCCCACCCCCCTTGCACAGGACGACGAGCAGGCGGTGAAATCACCTGGGGCCCAGCCAGGAGGGAGGCGATCTGCAGGCTAGTTTCTCATTTCCTTGGAAGGATAATTCTGTTTCTTTCTTTGCCAATCACGGCCTTAGTCACTGGAAGCCCATGAAAATTCATCTTTTCCCCATTTCCCCAAGCTAACAGGAAACAGACTATTACAAAATTGACAAAGCAAAGTGGATTTCTTTGGCTCAAAAGCCAGAATTTATTTCCTATAAGTATTAGGAGCAGAACTGCTGAACTTGAAAAAGCCTCATTTCTAATAAACAAGCAGTTTTTAATAAAACATCTCAAAAGGAACCATGGGGACTTTGGGTCCAGAAGCGGGATGTGCAGAGGGTAACATCTGGAAACAGGAAATGATGCCAGAGGGAAGAAAAATGCAAGAATCAGTCATCCGAAGCAGCTTTGAGAGCTTTACGACAATAATTATAATTAAATCCTTTCTCTATTAAAAAAAAAGAGTGTGAAAGAGATGAGTAGCTATTATCTTTTTAAACTGGAAAATTTTTAACGTGCAACCCAAAAAAGGACAAAAGAAAAAACCAGAAAGCAGTATAAAGAGGACTAGAGCAGACATACCAGGCACTTACTCTTCTAACTGAGCTTCTGAACGCCCGAAAGAGATAGGGGCTCAGCGACTGGGAATTCACTTTTGCCACGGAGGCGCTGACAGCTTCCCTCAAGGAAGACGGGTCATAGTCATACACGGGAAAACCTGGACTCATAAACACATGAGGACACAGTGAGACAGGATGCATGGACGAGGACAGCTCCGCGTCATCAAGGGCAGGTGGCCTGACCCTGGACTCCTTACCTGCACAATAGTGGAACCAGTAGTTCGTTCCAAGGACAGACATAATCAACACCTTCATCACCATCTTCTCCATTCTGGGAAGGATAATTTCAGTTCCGATCCCAGCAGATTGTGTCTATGTGTTTGGGGGTGACCAGTCGTCCTGAAAGCAGCTCTTTATCCAGTGTGACCTGGCTTGCTCACTCCGACTGAAGCAGACTGCGGCTTCAACAGAGACAATTGATCCTGCAGTCAATATTTACTGCTGCCTTTTCCTAGGGAAAGGGTACAGTTTGAGGCCACTTTTGAAGTTTGGACCTCAACATGGGACTTTAGCCCGCGGCAACAGCCATCAAGAGGCGGGGACTCCGCATGCACTGTTTGCTCTTCTCTATTTTAATTTCATCCACATGGACTGCCTATTTCTCTTTATTTTCCTTTCATTTTTGGAGGGAGGGGATGCAACCTTACTTTCAACAAAACAGTTAACTTTACATTTTTGTCCATTTCATTCCCTCTCATATTCCTAAAGATCCTGCAGTTGACTGTTTATAAAAATTGTGTGGTTATTTCATGATCATACTGGAAATTAAGACTGGAAAGGAGAGAATTTAATCTGCAGGGCTTAAATATGCCAAACAAGTTCACGTGCAATAAAAAACAGTGACATGCCTCCGTGTCCACCGACCCTCTCTGCTTACAGGCGTTTCCGCATCTCACTTGGATGATAAGGTATTTGCATACTGATGACTCTCATGCACTGTAAGATCCCTAGGTAGTTTGTGAATCATTAAAAAGAAGACACGCTTTACAGTAAATACAGGTTGTGTTACATGCAACTCATGGTGCTCTCATTCCTTGAATTCATGCATAAGAAGCTGTAGTGCCCTGAGGCTCAGAAATACCTGGATCAGAATCCTGGCTCCATACCTGTCAGGCGTGTACCCTTGGGCATGGTACTAAATGTCTCTGAACCTCAACTCCTTCACCTATAAAGTGGGCATAAATGGTTAGATGTAAAGGTGTATTATTAGTCAGGGAGGCACAGAGAGAGAGAGAGAGATTGATTTTAAGGAATTGGCTCATGCAATGGTGGAGACTTGGTGAGTCCAAAATCTGAAGCATGGACTGGCAGGCTGGAGACCCAGGGAAGAGTTACAGTTTGAGTCCAAAGGCCACCGACTGCCACAATTCCTTCCTGCCAAGGAGATCAGTCTGTGTTTATTCCGACCTTCAAGTGATTGGGTGAGGCCCACCCACAATACAGAGAGCAATCTGCTTTCCTCAGAGTCCACTGATTCAAGAGTTAATCTCATCGAAGAATTATCACAGAAACATCCACAATAATGCTTGGCCAAATATGTGGGCACCATGGCCAAGTTGACACGTAAAATTAAGCATCACATAAAAATTAAATAACAAACCCTTGGAAGAATGCTTAGCAAATTAATGGCTCAATAAACAGTAACTGCTGGTAAGAATTCAATTCAATAAATATTTTCTAGTATCTGCTGTGTAAAAGGCAAGAGGTCCAGAGAACATCAAAATGAACGAATCATCTAGGTCACTCTGCTTAAACAAGGCAAATATAAGTGCCAACAAGGGAAGCATAAATTGCTATGAGAATTCTGGGAGAGGGTGGAAACTTCAGCAGTTTGCTCATTCCTCCTGACTTTGGTGGCCTTGTGTCTCTTTGGTTAACAGATGCAGAAGTGCCCAACAGGAGAGAAGGAGACTCAGGCCAGGAAGAAAGAGCAGACAGGAAACCACTGGGAGAGAACTGCAGCCGTTTGCCAAGGATGTGGTGTGGGGCAGTGATGTTCACCAGAGGCAGGTCGGGCCTTGTTACCAACGTGGAGGAGGAGGAGGCGGGTGGGTGGGGGGACAGGGGAGAAGAGATACGGGGTAGATTTAACAAGAAAGATATGCCTTACAGGAAGAGCAGTGATACAAAATTTTAATTACTGCTACTATGTAAGGCAATTTTTAATCAAAATGTTCCCTCTGCTTTGCCTGCCCTCTGCACAAACGTTTAAAATCATGCTTCTGACTTGGCATATTGTCTGAATCATCAATATTTACTGCCCTCACCCAAAAGGTGTTCTTCCTACAAGTCTTATTCATCAGCACCTTGGCACAAAGGCGTATTTAAAATCCCCAGAGGGGCTTCCCTGGTGGCGCAGTGGTTGAGAGTCCGCCTGCCGATGCAGGGGACACGGGTTCGTGCCCCGGTCCGGGAAGATCCCACATGCCGCGGAGCGGCTGGGCCCATGAGCCGTGGCCGCTGAGCCTGCGCGTCCGGAGCCTGTGCTCCGCAACGGCAGAGGCCACAACAGTGAGAGGCCTACGTATTGCAAAAAAATAATAATAATAAAAATAAATAAAATAAAATCCCCAGAAAATCTCAGTGTCTAAATGCCCATTGGCCCATGCAGCATCTCTGGGTCCAGCAGCTCCTGGCCTCATCTTGGGCCACCTTCCTTCTTGCACACAGGTGTCCTGGAGTTTCCTGACCACCCACGTGAACTTCACACATCCTCTCCCCCTTCTTCAGCTCCCTGCTTCTTCCCTCCTAGCACTTAACACAAGGGCTAGTAATCTTGCTTGTTTGTTTGTTACTTTCTTTCTCCTACAGTAGACTATAAGCTCCATAGGACAGGAAATGCACCTGTCTTGTTGATGCCATACTACGGTACCCAGATAGGAACACGATTAAATATTTGTTGAATGAATGAGTGAATGAATGAATGAGTGAGTGAGCACACTGGGCCTCTCTGAACCTCAATCCGAGCCATTCTGTTTGAGCCTGCACTGATTTCTGGTGCATAAAATGTACACAAAGCAATGCCTATGAGACGATGACCACTAAGATTTGTGATTCTGTTACTCTTAACCTGGTTTGAACTCAATTCCATTAAAGTCTTCCAGATTCAACTAACCACACCATCTGGTTCCAAACTTCAGGGTCTCATTAAATGAGCAGTAATAATGAAAGTAATTACAAAAGAGTATAGGAGATTAAGGAGACAACAGTAAAATAATGTTGCCAGCACAGGGCTATTGATTTTGCTTGTAGCTTGTTGATGCAAGGATAGACCATTTTATTTCTCAAATTCATTTGGTTGTAATAAACATTGACACTGGGCATGCAGAGCAGCCACCAGTTAGTGCTAAAAAGCGATTACTACTAAAAATGTCTCTGCAGAGCTCCGTCATGTCTGGTAAACCTAGAAGATTAAATAGAAGCCAACCATTGAAATTCAAACCATAATAATTTCTTTCATTATTCTTTTTCCGATCTGCAGAAATGTACATAGCAGTAATTCCAGCAGCTTTCTGCTGTTCTAACAAAAATTATTTAGCTAAGGTGTTAAAAATTCTGTGTTGCCCCACCTCCTTTAGTAGCTCTTTTGAACACTTCAGAGAAGGAGACTCCAGGAATCTGTCCGGTGAGAGGAAGAACTTTGCTCACTTTGATTTACTGGATTTAGCCAGCATTCTGCTCTAGAGATCAAAGAGAGCTTGGAGCCATGTGGCTGGGTCTTGGTGCTCCGGCCGGGTGTCAAGCCTGAGCCTTGGAGGTGCGAGAGCCAAGTTCAGGATATTGGACCACCAGAGACCTCCCAGTCCCACATAATAACAATCGGCCACAGCTCTCTCAGAGACCTTTGTCTCAAAGCTAAGACCGAGCTCCACTCAAGGACCAGCAAGCTCCAGTGCTGGACACCCCATGCCAAGCAACTAGCAAGACAGGAACACAGCCCCACCCATTAGCAGAGAGGTTGCCTAAAATTATAATAAGGTTACAGACACCCTAAAACACATCACTGGACTTGGTCCTGCCCACCAGAAAGACAAGATCCAGCCTCATCCACAAGAACACAGGCACAAGTCCCCTCCACCAGGAAGCCTACACAACCCACTGAACCAACCTTACCCACTGGGGACAGACACCAAAAACAACGGGAACTATGAACATGCAGCCTGCGAAAAGAAGACCCCAAACACAGTAAGATAAGCAAAATGAGAAGACAGAGAAACACATAGCAGATGAAGGAGCAAGGTAAAAGCCCACCAGACCTAACAAATGAAGAGGAAATAGGCAGTCTACCTGAAAAGAATTCAGAGTAATGATAGCAAAGATATCCAAATTCTTGGAAACAGAATGGAGAAAATACAAGAAATGTTTAACAAGGACCTAGAAGAACTAAAGAGAAAACAAACAATGGTGAACAACAAAAGAAATGAAATTAAAAATTCTCTAGGAAGAATCAATAGCAGAATAACTGAGGCAGAAGAACGGATAAGTGACCTGGAAGATAAAATAGTGGAAATAATTACCACAGAGCAGAATAAAGAGAAAAGAATGAAAAGAATTGAGGACTGTCTCAGAGATCTCTAAGACAATGTTAAATGCACCAACATTCAAATTATAGGGGCCCCAGAAGAAGAGAAAAAGAAAGGGACTGAGAAAATATTTGAAGAGATTATAGTTGAAAACTTCCCTGATATGGGAAAGGAAATAGTCAGTCAAGTCCAGGAAGTGCACAGAGTCCCATACAGGATAAATCCAAGGAGAAACATGCCAAGACACATATTAACCAAACTATCAAAAATTAAATACAAAGAAAACATATTAAAAGCAGCAAGGGAAAAGCAACAAATAACATACAAGGGAATTCCCACGACATTAACAGCTACTCTTTCAGCAGAAACTCTGCAAGCCAGAAGGGAGTGGCAGGACATATTTAAAGTGATGAAAGGGAAAAACCTACAACCAAGATTACTCTACCCAGCAAGGATCTCATTCAGATTCGACGGAGAAATTAAAACCTTTACAGACAATCAAAAGTTAAGAGAATTCAGCACAACCAAATCAGCTTTACAACAAAAGGAACTTCTCTAGGCAGGAAACACAAGAGAAGGAAAAGACCTACAATAACAAACCCAAAACAATTAAGAAAATGGTAATAGGAACATACATATCGATAATTACCTTCAATGTAAATGGATTAAATGCTACAACCAAAAGACATAGACTGGCTGAACAGATACAAAAACAAGATCCGTATATATACTGTCTATAAGAGACCCACTTCGGACCTAGGGACACATACAGACTGAAAGTGAGGGGATGGAAAAAGATATTCCATGCAAATGGAAATCAAAAGAAAGCTGGAGTAGCAATTCTCATATCAGACAAAATAGACTTTAAAATAAAGACTATTACAAGAGACAAAGAAGGACACTACATAATGATCAAGGGATCAATCCAAGAAGAAAATATAA